ATTATTCCAAAAATTTAACTATTTCCAATGTTGTGATTATTGAATCCTTTTTCTAGTGTTTGTCCAAGTGATGCGACATTTTAAAATTACTGAGTTTGCAATGTCATTTCTAACGACACCCAAAATTTGATATGATATATTACTCATAAAAACATATTTTATGGTGAAGCAACAAAGTGTGCAATACTTTTGAATTTCATTTTATTTGTGCCCTCATTTCATAGTACTGTAACCTTTCACTGAGATGAACGCAAGAGATAGAGAGAGAGATAAATACAAGATAGCGAGGCCCATAATTGACCCAAGTGGGCCATATCATAGATAAACATTGACAAATTACATGGCTTAAAAAATATATATTAAATCTATACATGTAATATTTAAATATTATATATATAATACAAATATATATTAATAATATAAATATATAATATATATAGCATAACACAATATATAATATAACGTATTTTATATTTATTTCATTAATGTATATTTTTATTATATATATAACATATAATATAATATTTATTATAATATAAATTTCTTATAACATATAATATAATATATGATATTTATATATTATATATAATATGTAATAAAAATTTTTTATACGGTTGTAACCTTAAAATGTAGAATTAAAGATGCACCTCAAAAATCATTAGAAATGATTGTTTTAATGTTGAAAAATCCTCTAAATAGTCATCTCGATATCGAGATTAATGAATATGAAGAAAAAAAAAAGATTTTCAGTCCTAGAACTAGTGCATCTTGCAATACATTATCTAGACCGTCCATTTTCAAGATTTTCATATGTTTATAGATCTACTTGATTTTAACCATTTTTAAAGTTTCAAATTTTATAATTAGATATGAAAATAGACTTTTAGATAATCCTGAGAATTTTAACATCAAAATTATATGTTATAATAAAATTTAGAGGTGAGCCCTAATTGGATTGTTTAAGGTGCAGCTTATAGAAACTACACCCTATATAATATAGTATAAATATCATATAATTATATAACTATATAATATATACGGTGCAGTTTGTATAAAGCCGAGGCTCTAAACAATCAAACTAAAGCGCACCTTCAAATAGTGTCGAGTGGTTTCAATATTGGAAATCTTTGTGATAGCCATAACATATTTTTTCATCTCTAATTGTAAAATTTAAAGCTTAAAAAATAGTATAGATCGAGCAGATGTATGAAAAATTGACGGTCCAAAAATGCATTACAGAATGCACGACCTCCAAAACTTGAAATCCATTTTTTCTCATGACCATGCATCTTGAGGTCGAGACAATCAATTTGAGAATATTTGGATATCAAAACTACCTCTTCTAGTGAAATTTTTGAGATACGCCCTAATATAATATAATATAATATAAAGTATAATATTATATACAAATAACACTAATAATGTATATATATATTATAATAATATATTATACTAATGCATAATATGTAATATTATATAAAATAATATATTATTTATATAAAATATTATTTACATATTATAGCAAGAGGGTTTCATGCAAGGGCAACAAAGAGTCATTTCGTTTCTTCTTTAGGCGGACCCCAAAAAAAATGTTCAATACAATTTAATGCAAAAAATTTAACTCCATAATTTCTAAGAAATATGAATTCCACCTGTTTTGGTAGAATTAACATTTCCAGCTACTTGGCTTGAAAGGTGGAAAAGTGAAGTCTTATGGAAATATGAATCCTTGCATCAAAGTGCATCCAAACCTGATTTTTTGACATATTTTTTTGAAACATGAATCTCATAAATCTGAATCCAAAAAACCAAACAAGCCTCAAAAGAATTGTTGCGTTCTGAGTTTGTTACGTCCCAAACTGATTGAAATATAGCTTAAAGGCAACTCTACAACTTCAGATGGAGTCAGAATTTCATCTGCCCCTTTTTAGAGTGGGTTTAGGGCATAAAGCTCTAGATTCAACTTAAACTTGTCTAAAGGAACTGTAAAACAAATTTTGTTGAGGTCATTGGAAGCCCGAAATCTAGGTCAAAACATGTGGAGGTGGTAAAATACTAGATGATTTGGCTTTCAGATTCATGCTTTTGGACCTAGGAACTATGTTCCTGTGCAAAAGAACACACCGACTCGGGTCAGCTTTTGACTAACCCAAATCTGCAGATTTTGTATGAATTTTACTGATGAATTTTGAATGAACTTTACTGATGAAATGTTGAAAGAATGCCAAGAAAGATCCATTAGCACAAAGCAGGTTAAAAGGGTCGATACATGCCCTTGGTGTCAAAAGACTTGTAATGGTTTTTGTTCTTTTCTTTGAGATCAATGTAACACTCTCAATAACCATCGATCAAATGTTCTTTAATCATCGAAACCTTCGAATAAAAGGGTGCAGTTGGCATACGGATGCATCTGTAGGTGTAGAGGTAAAGTGTACTTTCAAATTTTATCATGGTATATAATTTTGATGTAAAATGTTCTTAAAATTATCTCAAAATCTATTTTTATATCTAATTATAAAATTTTAAATTTCAAAAATTGTTAAAATCAAGTATATCTATAAACATATGAAAACCTTGAAAATGGACGGTGTAGATAATATGTTGTAAAATGCACTATTTCTGAGACTTAAAATGTTTTTATTTTTCATAGTTGTACATCTCGATGTCGGATGGATTTTTGAGGGGCATCCGTAGTTCGACATTATAAGGTAGCATCCTTATATAAACTTTTTCCCGAATAAAATGTAAAAAAGATAATCTTTTTTAAATACAGATCTTATAAGGGGATTTATATTTCTCTTTTGCCGATAAGTTGTGTCATTTTTCCTAAAATGTAGGCTTGAAGAGATAAATGCACTAAAATCAGTAGTAATAAGTTATTTCATTTTAATTTCTTGTTGATTATGGGAGCTGAACAAGCTTTGGATGCAACTATTTTGTATTGTGGTTTTGTTCAGATCCCTACATTTCTACTCAAATGAGGTAAATCCATCACATTTTTTAACATGTATTATTTGAGCTATGCTAGCCGAGTCATAGGAAAATAACCATTTAGGAGCCTGGAAAGAGAAAGAAAGTGTTCAAGTTTTACAAATAGGTCACCCAGTGGAAATATAAAACTCAAGCAGATGCTACCTAAATAGCATTCACCAAAAATCTAGGTTTCAAATTTTCCAAAATCAAGGAGTACGGGATTTCAGACAAGGACACGGTTTCTATGCGGTCAGCGCATGTATTGTAAAATGCAGGCTTGGTAATAAATATTTTTTAAAATATAATTTGATCTTAATTTTTAAAAAATATATAATATTTAACATAGAGATCATGAATATGAAAAAAAAAAAATTGAAAACTCAAAATAATAATCATATTAAAAAAATATTTGGACCGTTAGCTACAATTGTTTTCATATCCTTTAATAAGGATGCTTTTATACCTCCAAATATTGGAACACAAAATAAAGAAAAAAGTTGGCTTATCGAAAATATGACTTTGTAAAAGTACGAGAGCGAATACGATCTAATACAACTAATTTCAAATGCTGGAGCTTCCCACTTTATCAAATACAATTAATTCCTCCCAAATAAACCCACAAATGAGAGAGAAACTACTTCAAATTTTAAGTTTTAGAGAGAGTATCTTAAAATTTTAGAGAAAAAAGTTGCATCAAATTTTAAAGAGAGAAACTACTAAAAATTTTTATATCGAAACAATCTCATATTTTAGGAAAATAAACTAGGTCAAATTTCAAGTTTTAGAGAGAGAAAGAATCTTAAAATTTTAGAGAGAAAATATCTAAAAATTTTAGAAAAAAATTATTAAAAAAGAAAATTAGAGAGATAAACTATCTCCAAATTTTTAGAGAGGAAAACTATCTCAAATTTTAAATTTTAAATAGAAAAAGTATCTTAAAAGTTTAGAGAGACAAATTACATCAAATTTTAAAAAGAAACTGCCTAAAAGTCCTTAAAGGGAGAAACTATCTAAAAAATTTTAGAGAAAGAAGCTAATCTCGAATTTAAAGTTTTTGAGAGAAAATATATCTTAAACTTTTAGAGAGAGAAACGATATCAAATTTTAGAGAGAAAAAATATCCTGAAAAGTTTTAGAGAGAGAAACTATCTCAAATTTCAAGCATTATAGAGACAAAGCATCTTGAAACTAGATCAAATTTTATAGAGAAACTAGCTGAAAATATTTAGAGAGAGAGACTACCTCAAAATTTCAAGTCTTAGACAGAGAAAGTATTCTAAAATTTTAAAGCGAGAAACCATATCATGTTTTAGAGAGAAAAACTACTTAAAAAAGTTTAGAAAAAGAAATTATCTCAAAATTTTTAGAGGAAAAAAATCTTAAATTTCAAGTTTTAGAGAGAGAAAGTATGTTAAAATTTTAGAGAGTTTTTAGAGAGAATCTTAAAATTAGAGAGAGAAATTCTATCAAATTTTAAAGAAAGAAATTACCTAAATTTTTTTTTAAAGAAACTATCTCAAGATTTTTGAAGAGAGAAACTATATCAAAATTTAGAGAGAGAAACAACATGAAATTTTTTGAGAGAGAAACTATATCAAATTTCAAGCTTTAGAGAGTGAAACTATATCAAAGTTAAAAGAGAGAAATTACCCAAAAAAATTTGGAGACAAACTATCTCATAAATTTTGCTGAGAGAAACTATCAACTATCTAAAATTTCAATTTTTTTGAAAGATAAACTGTCTAAAAATTTTTAGAGATAGAAATAATATCAAATTTTAATTTTTAGATAGAAACTACCTCAAAACGTTTTAGAGAGAAACTATTACAAAATTTCAAGTTTGATGCATACTCTCTCTCAGCACCTCACTCCAATTGTGTTTGCCAAACATGGGAAAAAACATGCTTAAGTAATCTTTTCCAGTAAACTTTTTGCATATGTAAATATTTTTTCATATAAATATTTTCCTGTCAAACTTTCAGACATACCAAACAACCTCTAATAGCAAACCAGGTTATACAAAAAGATGATCCAACATGAGATTTACATAACCTGGGTACCATTCGAAGCCATCAAAATAAGTTTTGTTTGAGTAACCAGATTTTAACATAACCAAGGTTGGACTTTCAAATCCTCTCATGTAGTATGATGTACAAATGAATCTCTCCCTCTCAAAAATAGAATGTCTCATGATCTCCCCAACACAATCTGACATCGATGGCTCCAACTGAAAGAGTAGCACGTGAGGAACAGAACAATCAGAAAGCAAACCAAACACAGCCTGTGTATGGTGCATGACACATAGCCAGGGCACCCACCAACCATACACAAGACATGCAGAGACTGCAATATGATCAATCCACACCTTCCAATCATTGAGAAATGATGGTGTATGCCCAAACTGTGTATCGACGTACCGTACACAGGATTGCTCAAAAAACTAAAAAAAAAACAAAAAAATACCATGCACAAGCTGTGGATGGTTCACTTTACTGTGAATAAAAGCATAAACTTGCGTACCAAATGGCTTTAGAGCTGCATCTATGTATCTACTCTGAAGAACCAGAGTAGAACAAAGGATATGACCACAGAAGCCATTACAAATGTACAGAGAGGCTGACGTCTCCACAAGCCATTAGCCTCTCCATGGCCTCTATTGTTTCCTCCAGTGTGGTTCCACTCTAGAAGAAAGCTGCCACTTCCAACTCCTTTTATATTTTCCGCAACAACGCCGCATATTTCGCAGCGCCTGCACCCCACCAACAAAAGAACAGAATGTCACACCAGCCTTCCATGTTGAATATAAATGGTCTTATTGTATACATTTCCTATTATTTGTTATTTATAGTAAGGGAGAGTATACTATGATGATATGATCTACAAGACTATAGTCATCAATGTTCAATAAACGGTTGGACAGTTATCCAGATGAGTGGTACATGCAATTGGATTAATGACACAGTATGACACGCCTTCCATCCATCACCATCTGAATGATGTAGTGGATGGTGATGAACCTATGAACATGTGATGCTATGGGTCATATATTTCCCTCTCGTGGAAGACTTTCTTAATGTCACTTGTATCATTAGGCTCTGATGTTCGAGAAATTTATGCTCATGTCCCCATAAAGTAACCTTATTATAAATTCCTCTCGATATAGTCCTTTTTCACATTCATTCCTTTTTTTTCTTATTTTTGATTTTTTCTCAAAATACCCTTAATTATGACATTCAAGAGCTGAAGTGACAATGACTTTGAATGGAAAGTTCCAAACAATTTTTTTTATTGTGACTTGGTATCTTTGTGATCGGTAAGTCAAGTGTTTTCTTAAAGATTTCAGATCTTCATGGTCCAAGTCAAGTTCCATCAAAATGACTTCGAATCTTCAAGGTCATAATTCATTTCGATAAGTCATAACTCCGGAAATTGAAAGTTTGAAGTCAAAACTTCATCAAATTTTTCAAAGTGGCGATGGAACGTGAAGGTTAGAAGCCTAGACATAGAGGCTGAATTTCGATCTTCAAGATCCGAAGTTCAGACTTGTCTTCTCACTTTAGATTTCAGGACAAAGATAAATAAAAAATACAAAGGGGTCACGAATGTAAAAAAAGAAAATTGGGGCAGATTGTTAGAATAAAGTTAATTTAAGGTGACATGAGCATTTATTTTTCATAATATTCCCTCACATAAATCCACCTTTAAGTTAGGTGATAGAACCAAACAGACCATTTCAAACTTCTCTCCAAACATAATCTCCTCAAAAAAGAAATGGATTGGGAGTTCCAAATATGCTTGATACCTACTGCCACCATCAAACTAATGATAGGCCGGCCATTTGAAGGATCAGTGGATATACGGGTTTTGGAGCTTGCTTGAAGCTCTAAACCAAATCTTACTTGGAAAAACAAAATCTCCTCAACAAAGAAAGTTGAGTACGATCTCCAAAAGAGTTCCAAGTCATTGCCATCCCGAAATCAGATATGATCTGCCACTTTAAATGGAGGGTGGATGATATAAGAAGTTTGGAGACTCTTTGGACCTCCAAACCAATTCTGTATGGAAGATTATGATTTTTGAGACTGCACATTTATGGTCTAAAATTCCTAGGCCCAAAAAAATATTCCTAGGGACACAGAAAATTCTCTCTATTATTGCTATCAAAATTGTAATGAAAGTAATAGTGATCGTTATCATTTTATAAACTATTTAGCTGTAAATGCTTTTGGTTGAATGCAAGTGTTTTTATTCAAAAAGTGAGTGAAAATCGATTTTCTCCTGTGTGGAATGGAAAAATAAAAAGATCGAGGAAACTTGCACCCAAGCTTTCATGTCAGCTTCTTTGCGTGCAGTTTGAACTTCTTTTCTGTAGGTTTCTATTTTCTGTTTCTTATTTATGTTTCTCAATAAGTGGTACCAAAGCCACGCCAGGCCATGGCTCAGAAATCCTTGAATGCGGAAGTTTGAAGTGAAATTTAATTGGAGAGATAGCTCCAGAATACGGAGGATAAAGACCAAGGACCTGTTGAAACAATACACGTATGTGTATAGAAGATTGGGAGGATATAAATGTGAGGGCCTCCAACACCATTCACATGTTCCTCTCTATGGAATACTATGTAATATATATATATATATATATATATATATATATGTGTAGATAGATAT